CTATTTTTAAACTCAGAGCGTTGCCACAGGCTTTTTCTTTTCAAACATCTTTTATCTAGCCTTAATGTTCAGAACAGATAAAGTGGTATTAGCACAAATCTCCTTCACAACTTTCCTTTTGTATCATTTATTGATGAAATCAATTTGCCTATAAGACAGAACTGTGAAACTGCTACCTTGAACACAATGGTCTGTTGGACAGCAGCTGCAGTGTTACAGTCCAGTCCATCTGAGTGCTCTGTTTGGATGAACAATGTTCAGAAATCATGGAGTCACCCAGGTTTGCTGTTGCTACTGGCAACAGTGTTTTTATCTTGTATGTAGCCCGTTTCTCTTGTGGTCTTGAGAACTCTTCAATTAAATTGATCTGAATACCTGAAGGAAAAGCTTTTAGTAACTGCTTCTTTTCATAATTGAATCATGGATCTAACAGATGCCCGTGGTAGTATTTATTATAAACATAAAAGTCAGTCAGAAAAAAAAATCTCAAACTTAAAATATACAAACAACAACAACAAAAAAAACCAAACCACCACTCTGGGCTTTTAGTACACATCTGATACCTTGTGTGGATGTTGTGGATCTTCAAGCTTGGTAAGAACAGAGGTTCACTATGAGAAACTGTAGGCACAAGCATGAACTTTTGAAAAGGGCAATGGCAGGCTGAAGGTTTATGTGGTGAATCATGTGTAAGAGATTCAAATGTGTGTGCATTCAGGGGAAGAGAAGATCCTGCTAACATTTTTTTTTTTTCACCCAGAAAGGAGGATAATGAGCCACACGAATACACTGGTTGTCTTTGAAGAGCTAAAACTTGAGAGTCAGTCATTTGAATGTAGGTTGGTTTTTATATCCGTTTTCATACCCAACAAAAAGAAAACAAACAATTTCTGAGATTCTGACATGCTTCTGAAGAGCCTTGGGGTCTCAGAGAAAAAGCTGGAAAGTCGTAATACCTTCCTGAGTCAACATGGAAGCTGGACGTCAGTCAGCTAGACCCTTCCAGTCACCATTTATAATGGGGCTCACAGACAATCATGTACAGATGTAGCCAAGCATGTTTGCCAAGCTTGTTTCCACCCTTTGTCTCTCCCTGTGGAGTTTGGTGTAAGGATGTGAATGTGTCCCAATCCATCTGTGATGAATGGCTTCCCTTCTTCTCTTTAAACGTCAACATATTTTTTGTTTCATATTTAAGTCTTGTACATTTTCCCTTTGAATTTATTTTTTCCTTGATGTAATATTTAAAAAAAAGAATGAGAAATTCTTTTAAAACACTGATCAGAACAATGGCCATGGCAGTAACAAAAGAACTACTTCTTAGGAAATTTTACAAATGCATCTTTAATCAGATCCATAATCTTGGCTAGGTATAATGCACAGCTGTAGTCATAGCACTTGGGAGACGGAGGCAGGAGGATTTACAGTTCCTTGCTAGGCAAGGCTACATAGAAAAACACTGCCTACATTCTAAAACACACTTTCTTTTGTTTGATGCCCATCTTTTGCCAACCCAGAGTGTACCTCTCCAGTATGGCTCCAGCTGCTCTAGCTGTCTGCATAGCGGATCACAGTGATCCTGTTCTCCCTTCCCAGTTGAGTATAAAAGTTTCTTCCCTCCCTCCCTCTCTCCCTCCATCCATCCATTTTTACCCTCATTTTTTTTCTAAAGCCCCCCAAGGACAGATGCGTGGGACTCTAGCTCTCTGGCCTTCATATAAATACCTCTCTCCGCCTTCACACTTGAATGGTTTCCTACTGCTTAGACAATTCCTTTGTCTGGTTTCTTCTTGGTCATTCTCTCCCTCCCACTCTGGCTCTTGTCTTCCTGTCAGTGACGTGGGCTCTGCTGGCCTTGTCCTTTGTATGGCATTCATTCGTCATTTTTGGTCCCCTTGTCTTCTGTGATGCTTACCAGCAGAACCTCACACCATGCATTTAAAATTACTTCATCAACCACAGCTTTAATTTCTGTTTGTTTCCCAGTTTATAATATATTCTTGGATTTGGAGAGGATATTGCTTTTTTTTTAAAGAAGTAATTTTTTAATGTTTTTCATTGGAAGTTTCCTCTTTTTACTTTCTTTTATTACTAAATGTTTTAACACTGAGCTGGAAGCTCACTGTTTTGCCTATGCTGGCTGACAGAGCTTTGGAAATCCAGCTGTCTCTGAACACCAGCGCTGTAGTTACAGGTGTGAACAGCCATACCTGACTTTTTCTTACTGGTGATTGTGTGGCTCCCAGGGAAGATGGATCATTGGTGCCTTGTGACTCTTGAGTTTTCCACTGAGGGACCTCAGGCATAGAGCAGGCTGCCTGAGGTGCTATCTGTATGGGCAGTCCCAGTTGGGGACCTTGGTTGTCAAATTGAGTGGACTTTGCTATGTGTAGCCAACACCTTGACTGGATGCCTGGGTTTTCTCTTTATTTATTTAGAGACTGTGTGTGTGTGTGTGTGTGTGTGTGTGTGTGTGTGTGTGTAAGCTCGCAGCGGCCAAGTAAGACACCCAGTTTTTTCCTCTATCACTAACCACCTTACTGCCCTGTGACAGGTTCTTTCACTGAGCTGGAAGCTCACTGTTTTGCCTATGCTGGCTGACAGAGCTTTGGGAATCCAGCTGTCTCTGAACACCAGCGCTGCAGTTACAGGTGTGAACAGCCATACCTGACTTTTTCTGATGGTGCTGGGATCTTCATGAGCCCAATGAAATATCTCCCCATCCCTGCTGGTGTCTTCTTCAGACAATTTATTTTTATTTAAATGAAAGGTGGAGTTTTAAGAACACATAGAGTTGACTTTAATCTGGTATAGGAACAAGAAAATGACTATTATTAAGAACGATTTTTGTTTTGTTTTGTTTTGTTTTGTGTGTGTTTTTCAAGTCGCTCCAAAAGCACCCTGGGAGGGAAACTGGGCAAAGCTCAGCTTTGGATATGAGGCAGAAGGCACAGAAGAGGGAGAAAGCAGGCAGTGGTCTTTCCTTTGATTTCCTTTGGGTTGATCAGTGCTAAAGGGCAAATGGGTTTACCACTGACTAAACATAAGTAATATAGGGTTTGGTGGTAAGGAACAGTTTCCACTTGTCAGCATTGGGGTGAGAGGGCTCTGGTTATGAGAGCCTAATGGAGTAGGTGGAAGGGGTGTGGCTGCAATTTGGTTAATTTAGACTTGAAAGGGACTCTGGAAGCTTGGTGTGCTGGTTCAACCTGACACAGACTGGAATCATTTGAAGAAAGAACATCAAATGAGAAATTGCTCCATCAGGTTTGCTTGTGGACATATATCTCTGACATTTTCTTGAGTAATAATTGATGGTTAGGGGCCCAGCCTACTGTGGCTATGCTGCCTGTACTGGCTAGTTTTATGTCAACTTGACACAGGCTAGTTATCATAGAGGAGAAAGCCTCAATTGAGAAAATGCCCCCATAAAATCAGATCACTGGGGCAGGGGCAGTCAGCCCATTGGCCAGGGCCACTCTTGGGCTGGTGGTTATGGGTTCTCTGGGAAAGTGGGCTGAGCAAGCCAACTGAAACAAGCTGGTAATTGACACTCCTCTATGGGCTCTGCATCAGCCCCTGCCTCCAGGTCTCTACCCTTTGTGAATTCCTGTCCTTACTGCCTTTGATGATGAGCTATATATGTAACTATGAGTGAAATAAACTCTTTCCTCCCCCAAGTTGCTTTTAGTCAGGGTGTTTCATCCCAGAAGTAGTAACCCTAACTATGACACTACTCTTGGGCACATGGTTGTATAAGAAAGCAAGCTAAGAAAGCCATGGGAAGTAAGTAAACAGCATTACTCTGTGGTCTCTGCTTCAATCCTGGCTCCAGATTCCTGCCTTAAGTTCCTGCTTTGGCTTCCCTTGATGATAGACTGTAACCTACAAACCACATTAACCCTGCCCTCCCTAAGCTGCTGTTGATCACCGCAACAGTAAGCAAATTAGGACACTTGCTCACTCTCTCTAGGAACTGCCTGATCTCAAAAGGGAAACCTCTGCAGGGTCATTGAGGTCTCAGATCTCAAAACACCAAAATGTAGAAAACTTAAGAAACGATTGGCATCAGCTATTAGTTTTAAAAGTTGCTTTATCTTCTTGGTATGTGGGTGTTTTCGCTATTCCAGTCATAACTCCTGCCTGTAGGAAGTTTAAATATAGGGAAGGAAGTTTGGGTGTTTTCATGTAAAATTCTTAATTTGCCATTCTCCCACCATGTATCACCACTGTTGCCTGGAAGCTCTGGGGCCTGCTGGTACCGAGTTCCTGCACCTATGGTTTTAATCATTCAAAACAAAAATTGTTTGTTGTTGTTAACACTAGTCAAGTGTGAATCCCATTCCGGAGACTGGAAGCTGTCACTAATTCTGGGGTAGATTTTAATAGTGGAAATATCTTGAGTCATTTCTGCCTCTGTAAGTAGCCCCTTACCAATATTCCTTTAAATAGCCTCCCCAAAAACCTTACTAGTTCAATGAATTGGATTTCAGTGGTATCCTTACATTAGTCTGTCCTGGGCCCCTTATCTAGGATGAGTAGATATTTGTTCACGGCTCCCCAGGAATAGTATTACATGATGGCAGGGAATTCTGAACAGGGTAAGACAGAAGAAAGCTACCTGAGAAGGAAAACAAATAGGGAAGTATGTGTTTCTTCTCTCTGCCATTGACTGTGCACACAAGGCTTTAAGCTCTTGACTTTCCTATAACCTAGGATTGTGAGCCAAAAACTACCTTTATTCTCTAAGTTGCTTTTGTCCAGACACTTTAATCACAGCAACAGAAAGGAAACTCCAGCATCACAACTCATATGAGATGGAGGAGGACATTGGCTCTTCCATGAGAAGACCTTCCAGGCAGGTGTGAGATTGTCCAGCTACAAGCAGGAACCCTTCAAAAGGCTGCTACTCTTCTGACTGTTAAGCACAACAACTCTAAGGACACTGAGAGACCCACTGCCCGGAGGTGCTGACTTATAAATCCTTTTTCTATTTCTAGTGCTGATGAACGCTTTGATGCCACATTCCACACCAATGTCTTGGTGAATGCTTCTGGGCATTGCCAGTATCTCCCTCCAGGTAAGATCTTGGATTCCTTCCAGTGAGAAGATTTAAACACCTAAGTGCATCAGTCCCAAGGACTGACCACCTCTTCTGAAGGGAGGACTAACTCCATGCTGAGTTCCCATTCTCCCCTACCTTCTCATCAGAACTCTCTCACATGTCTCTTCAACTCGCTCTGGGTGTCATATCTGTAAGATATTGACATTACATTTCAGATTGACAGTCTGTCATATGTTTTTGCTAATGTTAATTCACACTCTTTTTTTTCATGCCCATAAACATGATAGGCAGGCCTTTCTCCATCTCTTCCCAGTTGGCACAGTAACTTGAGGGGTATTGCAGCGCTCAGAAGATGGTGGACATTCTGGATTCATATCTTGGGTTCATGCACTCAAGACTGCTCACAAGATAGATGCAAGGTCTGGTGCTCTCAAAGGAGCACCCACTAGTGACTTGTCAACTCATGTCTTTCCTCCTTCTTAACCCCCTGGTGGTAAAGAGCTTTATGGGGTTGATTTGCCTCCCTGCCTGTCATTACTGTGGGACTCACAGGATCCCAGGATGCTCACTGAGCAGTCCATAGCCCGAGAAACTACTGCCCTCTGACACACATTCTAGGTGTGTTTTAGCATATAGGGATTGATTTTTTTCACCTTATCCTTTGATTTGTTAGCAGATTTTCAAGAATTATCTTCCTCATTGTAACTGCTTATAACAAATCCGTAACCCAAGTGCTACACTGTCACCACTATACTCGTAACACACTAACACTCTCTCAACACATGCAACCCTTGAATATACAATGTCTCATAACTACATAGGAATGCCTACCACACCCTTTTCTAGCATTCAGCCCCTCCTTATCTCCAAACATAGCAAAGCTGACTTTGCCTATCGTTTACAATGTTCTTCCTGTTAGCGGATGATAAGAATTCTATAGACAGAATTTGTGTTTGCTCTCCTTATAATCCATCACTTCTCAACTGCAGGTGGCTGCCTGTCAATAAATGAATGAATAAGGGATTGAATCTAGCAGAGACAGATCCCTCTCGCTGATGTTTATATTGATTAAAGAAGTGTTGCTTCTTGGGCTTTCTGTCTTAAATCATCTGCTTGCCTACTCCAGCCCTTCCTCTGCACTGTAAGCACCTTGCATGCTGGGCTGTATGATGCCTTCCAGCATACTTTAAATTGGGTGACACCAGTGAGTTAGCATTGTGAACCATCATGCGAGTGCTGGGAATTGAACCTGGGTCCTCCAAAAGAGCAGCCTGTGTTCTTAACCACTGAACCATCCATGTGTTTATTTTTTAACAGGTAGATGGGAGTAGAATTTACATGTTATACATTTGACGTGAGAGGATCACCACGATTGGTCCATTTTTAGAGTGGTCCCATCGTCCCTTACATGTTCACAGCAGTTAACTGATCTTGTTGCAATCCTCAGACAACCTTTGGATTCTTTCCATCTTCTTCTTGGGTCCTTTTTTATAGAAGTGGAATCAAATACAGTTTAGATTAGGGAAAATTCAGCCCACTAATGGTCGGGGAATACCAGTAGTGACTTTCAAAGCTCATGTGAGCATCTGAAGTAATTCTGTAATTCATGTGTATGTGATACATATACCTGTGTGTGTGTATGTGTCTGTGTGTGTGTGTGTGTGTGTGTGTATATATATATATATATATATGTATTATAGTATTGCAGATCAAATTTTGAGCCTTATACAAAGTAGGTAGTATACTGCTGAGCTGTATCCCTAACCTTTCTGCCTTTTTACTTTGAGACAGGGCATTACTGAGTTGCCTGGGATGGTCTTGAACTTGTTATCCTCCTGACTCATTTCCCCAAGTATCTGAAACTCTAAATAATATTTAAAGGGACAGTTCATTATGTTATCTCAGCAACAGATGTGTAGTGGAGCTTACATATGTATAACTCATTAGTTCCCTCCTCCATTCAGTCTTTTAATTCGGTTTTTAAAATGTGAAATATGTTGCCCTTTCCCCACTAGCACTGGGGCATTTCAGCCATATGTGCCTTCTAGCACAATCTAGTCAACTGAAGGCAGGCAAGAGAACATGCCATAAAAAACTGGACTAGATTTATTATGTCTTCTCACTATGACCTTCTGGGAAATCTACTTCTATGAATTCTAGCTTCTTTCAGTAGAATCTTCCTTTGCATCTAAACTCCCTCTCTCTTTTTAATTTTGCACCTATTCATCGCATCTGATCACACACACACACACACACACACACACACACACACACACATATATATATATTCAAATAACTAAATGTTTTCTCGATTTCCTACTTAAAAACAACAGTCTCTCCCCACTCCCCACCTCTTTCTAATTCTCTAAGTTCTTTATCATCGATATCAATTTCTCTGAGATTTATGATGTTCTTTCTTTCTCTCATATTGCTTAGAGTCTGAATGTGCCCATGGCAAATAAAGTTGATAATGAATAAATTGCACAATTCCATGAGAAAAAGCCCCCTATCACAGAGGCTAGCACTGTGTTTTAATTTGAAAAGGCAATGAAGCTTAGGCTGAGCTGCTCTAGAGATTTTTGCAAAAGAAAAACATTGAGGGTGTAGAGGCACCTCAGTTTGTCCTAAATGGGTCTAGCAGGAGTTTGTGATGTTGGGCAGGCTTTAGGAACTGCTCTGTAGTTTGAGCCTGTTTCAGCTGGCTCCACTTCAATCCTTGTCTGATCATTTCCCGTCTGATCATTTCCCATCATGCTCACACAGGCATATTCAAGAGTTCCTGCTACATTGATGTACGCTGGTTCCCTTTTGATGTGCAGCAGTGCAAACTGAAGTTTGGGTCCTGGTCCTATGGAGGGTGGTCCTTGGACCTGCAGATGCAAGAGGCAGATATCAGCAGCTATATCCCCAATGGAGAATGGGATCTCATGGGTAAGGCCAGCAGAGACCAAGATGTTGTATCCCTGAAGAAAAGTGTCTTTCTGCCAGTGTGAGCTGAAGAACTCGGGGATTTTCCACTGTTCTTTTCATTTACTACACTTGGCAGTCCCTTCCATCATGTCCTGAGAGCTCCAGAACGAGAAGCAGAAAACAATTAGCAAATGCAGCAAACAGCCATGGTGGGGCCTGTTAAAGTAGCAGTACTGGTGTAGGTTTTGAGTGCTCATGAGATCCATTCTAATCCTATGTTATGGTTGGACTGCACATTGCAGTGATGGAGTAAATGAAGAAAATCACAAGTGGGGCTCAGTCAAACGTACAAACAGCAGTGTTTGGGCACAGGACAAAATTTCACATTGGGAGACGCATAAGTTCGACTAGACATCAAGTCAGTACTCTGCTGAGAGGGGATGCGTTTTGGATTTTAAAGCAAAGAATGTGTGCGTATGGCAGTTGAGCATGGGGTGGGTGGGTGCAAAGGGTGAGTCAAGTAGTTTGAAAATGTAGATCAGGGTGCTTGAAAATTTCCTAAATCCATTGGCCTGTCTAGGCCAGGGATCAAACTGGTCACTCTAGCATTTTCAATCTTCTAAAAGAATGTGAGATTCTGAGAAATTGTTCCTTCTAGCAGACACACTTCCTGACATGTTTCCTGCATGGCAATTTACCCCCTGTTGTCAAATCTCTAAGTCTTAGAAAATAATTAGACATTTTTTTTCTCTCTGAAGCCATTTTGACATTTATTTTTATCAATAGGAACTTATACTACACTTTTTCAAAATCCAAACCAATATTATTATTACCATCAGGTATACCTTCTGAAAATTTTCATTATGCAATTTTACTATGTGAGCATGATAGAATTCACTTACAGTGCACAAAGTAAGCCAGCTACAGAATCAGTAAATGATACAATGGTAAAGTAGCAACGATGGTGCAGATTGTGTGTGCACACGGGATCCATTCCAGTCTGATAGGATGGTTGAACTATAACCACTGTGCTTTTCTTCCATCTTTGACAGAAACACTATTATGTGACACCTGCTTATAATTGCATTTGTAATGCTATGAAATTGACATTGTATAAGTATTTCTAATGCATCAAAAGAATATCTGTCATTTTGTTTGACTATTACTGAAATACCTTTAAATAACTATAGAATACCAGTAAGGGTTTGTTCAAACACACCCATTACCCATTTTTTTTAGAGCTGTGCTCTTGTGTGGTACACACTTGCACACTTGGAAAGATAGAGGAACGAGAGAGAGAGAGAGAGAGAGAGAGAGAGAGAGAGAGAGAGAGAGAGATTGTATCTTCTGAAGACCTGATGACCTCCTTCCTTTCTCTGACACCCCTTGCAGGGATCCCTGGCAAAAGGAATGAGAAGTTCTATGAATGTTGCAAAGAGCCATACCCAGATGTCACCTACACAGTGACCATGCGCCGTAGGACACTCTACTATGGCCTCAACCTGCTCATCCCGTGTGTGCTCATTTCAGCCCTGGCTTTGCTGGTATTCTTGCTGCCTGCAGACTCTGGAGAGAAAATCTCTCTTGGTAAGTGTATATAGTGTTTTTTCTCTGAGCCTAGCTCTACAGGACACTATGGGCCATGCAGGAGTTCCTTGTGACCTACCATCCATGGACCTATGGGCCAGGGCCAACCTCACAACATCATAAACTCCTGGCTCTGGCTCTTAAGGAGACAGAATGTCTTCCTGAGAGTCTGACGGGATCCAGGAATTCCATGGTCTTTTGAAGAAGACAGGATACCGAGAGTGGCCAGATCAGTTCTACCCTGATAGGCTAGCTTTCTCCCCATTGCCACCCACCTTGCTCCTCAGTGGCAGCTAACCAGCCTCCAGTAGACACATTAACTTAATATCAGCTTGTGTCTGTAAATTATTGGACACATTACATAAGAATGCAGTTTGTTATGATTCCCTGTGAAGATATAAAACGTGGGTTTTGAAAGGTAAAATGAGCTTCTTATATCACAAAATTACTAAATAAATACATATTTAATGTGTTGAAGAAAGCTTTCACAAGTCTTCTATCTTCTTAGCATAAGGCTTAGAATGTTAAATATCTTACCCAAGGTCACACAGCTAATTAAGCTGCAGAGTCAAGACCTGAATGAAACCAAGTCTTCTGGCCACATGGTTTCCTGATCCTGCTGTGTTAAACTGCTTCTCAGTATTAATGCAGTAAAGACCTTGAGAAACAATCATGCTGCTTGATTCTCTCAAAGTTGTGATTTCTAAATTTGTCTCCTTTTAGATTCCTTTGGGGTTTGGGAGGTAACAGGAACTGTACCCAGAAAACTGCACATGCCTGTATATACAGAAACCATGGGACTTAGGATATAGCACTGGCGACCTAACTAGTGTTTTGAAACTACCTGTGTGAGCTCCTGTGAGATGGGATTTCAACCTAGTTTTCTCTTCTTCCTAAGGAACTCCTCACATTTTTGTTTCAGGAATAACTGTCTTACTTTCTCTGACTGTCTTCATGCTGCTTGTGGCTGAGATCATGCCAGCAACATCCGATTCTGTGCCCTTGATAGGTAAGGCAAGGGCTCAAGTGTGCCTAGGATTTCCCAGCAGATACACGGAGGAGGAACATATCCTTCAAGGCTCTGGAGATTTATTCTACCCCTCTGTTCTCTGCTGTGGGCACAAGACTTCCTGTAACTGTTGCAAAACACCATGGCCTATACCTAGGCCAAAGCAGGAGAAACAGAAAAGAGATCTCCAAATTTATGACTTGCCTTTAATCTGAAGAAATGACAGTGAGTGGTGGTGTCTAACTGTCATCTCTGTTTTTGTGACATTGAGGCAGGAGGATTAGAGCATTCAGAAGTTCAAGACTAGCCAGAAGCATGACCGATGTTTACAAATGAGAGAAGGATATCTGTGGTGGTGGTGGTATGGTGTGCATGAGTGTGTGTGTGTGTGTGTGTTGGCACGCACACTCGTACGTGCTGGAATGCCCCTTCTTCCTATATTCCTTGCACTCATACTTTCTGCTCTAAAGCCAAAGACTTTAAACTTAGAGATTCATTATTTTAGTTGGATACTGTTTTTTAACTAATCTTTTATTAAAAATGGGACAAATCACATATTCTAATTGTTAGCTACTATCTCCTGAGATCACTTGGTATCAGTTTATTAAATATGTGTTTAGAGAGATGGGAGTAAAGCAAATATGTTTTTATCTAAGATAGGTGTTTCTGCTAAGGGATAAGAGACAGAAATAGGATGACCCCATATCTGTTCAGTTTCCTAGATGGAAACAAAGGGGATCGTGTAAAGGACACTGTGTCCAGGTTAGGTTTTGATTCTCATTGCTGTATCCAGCACTCAGTTCCGAGCCAAGGTGCCATGGGGATGGGAGCTGTATGCTGCCAGGGACTTTTAGGCTTCAATAGGAGAGTTACCACTTCCAATTTTTGGTGGGGATTGAAGTCTTTGAAGTCTAGGCTGCCTGTTCCTTTCCCAATAGAAGTGTGGTTATTAGGCTATAGCCTGTTTTTCATTATGACCACACAGTATGATATGATAGGAAAATATCATCCCATTAGGTACTGCTGGGGCTCCAGGGTTCACACTGCTTCTGTTCTCTCTACAGCACAGTACTTCGCCAGCACCATGATCATCGTGGGCCTGTCTGTGGTGGTGACAGTGATTGTGCTACGGTATCACCACCATGACCCTGATGGTGGCAAAATGCCTAAGTGGGTATGTCTTTTTGCCCCTGTGGAGGTACAGCTCTCCCTGAGGGGATTGTCTAGTGGTCCCTAAAGAGACTCCACCCCTCTGTATATCTTTGAGGATGATGCAGCAGAGGTGGCAGTGTTTCACACTGACATGCCATGTCAGGACTCCACACTGGCTGCTTCTATATCTTGCTAGCATTGCTCTTTAAATGCTCTCCCACTGGGCGCTTTGGTCCTTCTAAGAAGGAGCAACAAAATACTCAAGAGAGCAAATATGGAGACAAAGTGTGGGACATAAACTGAAGGAGGGGGCATCTGGAGACTGCTCCACCTGGGTATCCATTCCATGTGCAGCCACCAAAGGTAGATGTTGATGTGGATGTCAGGAAGTGCATGCTGACAGGAGCCTGATATAGCTGTCTCCTTAGAGGTCTGCCAGAGTTTGACATATTCAGAGGTGGATGCTTACAGCTAACCATTGAACTGATCAAGGGGTTCCCAATGGAGGAGTTAGAGTGAAGACTGTAGGAGCTGAAAGAGCTGAACGGGTTTGCAGCCCCATGAGGAGAGCAACAATACCAACCACCCAGAGCTCCCAGGGTCTAAACCACCAGCCTGGGAGCACTTAGGGAGGGATCCATGGCTCCAGCTGTATATGTAAGGGAGGATGGCTTTGTTGGGCATAGGTGGGAGAGGAAATCCTTGGCCCCATGAAGGCTGGACGCCATGTGTGGGAAAATTTGAGGGTGGGGAGGTGGGACAGGGGGTAGGTAGGGGCATATCATCATAGAAGCCGGAGGAAGGGCAATGGGATACGGGGTTCTTGGGTGGGGAGGGTGGGGATGGGGTAAGGGGATAACATCTGAACTGTAAATAAAATATCCAATGGAAAAAAAAAGAAAGAGAAAAATAATAACAAAAAAAAATGCTCTCCCACTGAGGAGGACTTTGTAGCAGTTGAAGGAACTAGGGAAGTGGCCATGAAGCAACATGGCTGGAGCTTCACAGCAGACTGAGGAGTGAAAAGAATGAGATGCAGAATGAGTGTTTCTCAGTATCCTGCAGGACACTGACTTCAGAACTCTTGGCAACAGAGAAGTCTGAAAGTGTCCCTGCTCCTGGTACAACTAGTGTAGCACTTACACAGAACCTGCTCACATTCTCCAGTGTACTACAGATTATCTCCAGATGTTTACACATCTTCCTCATGTGTAAATGCCATTCCAGTAGTTTTTATGGTATATTGTTTAGGGAATGCTATAAGAAAATTATCTGTACATGTTCAAGTACACATTCAGGTTTTGTTTTTCCTAGGTTTTTTTTTCAGTGTGTACTTTCTAGAACCAGTGCTGCAAAGGGCCAAGTTTCTACCCAAGCTCATGATGTAAGATGAATAGTTCCCAGTGGATAACAGACAGAGAACAAAAGGAAATGAATGAGATCTTAGCCCAGGATACATCATCACTTCCCAATGCCTACCAACATCAGATCAGCACTATTAGCTTCTGATGCTCACCTGCCACATCATCTTCAGAATGCAGTATCTGAAGCTTATACCCAGAGTTATTGACTAGGGCTTAGGCTAAGCCCAGATTTTCCCCACCTTGCCAGAATATAACCCAAGGTAGAAGCGAGGTGCCCTAACCCCCCACCATGGTGAGCCTTGCAGATATCTCTTGCCTTTCTGCCTAAACATAAGAAGAACAGCCCTCTCCATACCCTGTCTAAAGACCCAGTCAATAGCATTCAAGTCCAAAAAAAAATCTAGAAGTTGATCAACCATGTATCAAACACAGCATATAGCAAAAAATGCATTTAGATCCCTAGTAGAACAAAGGGCTTCCAGAGTTTTGAAGACAATCATTGTGCAATAGCTTACAGTGGCCTAACTTGGGAAAGAGAACTTTTTATTTTCCAGTAGCCTCATAAAAGTACTAGTTCTCCTTTTAGTCTACTTGCCTTATATACATAATAAAATCCCACATAAAGTTCATAGTACCAGCTGTAGCATGTGGTCAACTTCAGTGTGTCTGTCTCAAATGCCATTGCTGTCGTCCAGGAGTCTTGTTTTAGAAGTTAGAGCTGAGGTACATTCACCTACATTCTCCTCTTTCTTAACATCGTGATTCACTAGGGCAAACTAAGCTAGGTGTGACTTATGTGTCTTTCTGTCTATCTATACATTTGAAGCAGATTACATACTACCTGTTTCAAAAGCAAGAGTAAAAGTCACATTAGACATAAGGAAGTTTGCCTCCCATTTTACCCCATCCTTTATAACCAGAAATGTTGATAATCATTTTAATGAATTCTCTATTTTTTCTTTAGTGTTTATGCTAGCACAAAAAATACACTCATACATATTTCTTAAAGTATTTTGGCTGGTGTGAAGATAAAAGAACTGATACACAGAGACACAAAGCCATTTTTGATGAAATTGGTACCACTTTATTCTCCTAGAATCTTAATTAAGCGCATTTGTCTATTACAAGCCTCTCAGAAATAAAAGGTCATTAAAACCAATTGGCTGCAAGTAAAACATAAGTGTATATGTCTCATTTTCTAAAGCATGCAACATTTTTCATTCATTCTGTGTGTCTTTGAAATATAAACAGTCTCCAGGGGACTCTTATTATGATTTGTTGCTATTATGAAGAAGATACTGCTGGGTGCAATGGCATTATGTGACATTTGCACAAGTAACAACAAAACCGTAGGCTAACAGAAGAGGTCATGGGCACGGTTTGATAAGTACTGACAGAATAATTCCACATTTGGAGATGTGCTGTCCTTGAAAGCTAATGATTTGGCCCATCGAATTCAAAACAGACTTGGTGGTATAGATCATACTAGTTGCAGATGCATCTCAGATGGCACACAGACCCCCTTGTGGCAGGAGAGGTGCCCAACCCTACTCAGCTCTTGTGTACACAGTTGCCTCTGGATTCAGATTCACATATAGTTTGACAGCCTCTTTTGAGATCTAGCACCAACCTTCTAGGGTCTTCTAAAGAAGGTTGGGGTAAGAGATAGGAGTTCTAAAGAGAACCTGGGGTACCTTTGGGAGATGAGGCTTGGAGCAGTCTCGACACCATAAGGGGTTGACCTTGATCCAATTCAGTGTCTTCTTTGAGCCTCAGTTTATCTGTAAAATGGGGACTTTATTCTCATTTCATGTCTCCTGAATGACTGAGCTAGATCCAGGCTCATGAGAAGGTAGCCTCTGCTTCTTCCTAATCTTAAAACATCCATAAAGCCATGGGTTTCCCTCAGTTCAGTCTGCCACTGGAAGTGTAAGGCTGTGACAGGTTGCCTAATTGTGAGGAACCTAAGCTTACCCTTTCGTGTGCCTCTTGCTCCTTATCTACAGACCTGATGTTTGCCATTTTTGATAAGATGCTGTAAAAATGGCTGCCAAAGAGTCAAGGTCTACAGATATGAACTTCCCAACTTGCATCTTCCCCTACAGATCAGAGGCTGGGGAAATTTTCCTATGATCATGACAGGATGAACATGAAGTATGTATCTAGGTGGTTTAGGAGAAGGCCCACTGTTTACCCACTGAGACTGTCTTCAAGTACCTCCTTTGTCCAGACTGGCTACCTCAAAACAAAAAACCTATAAACTCCCAGAGTAACTTTTCACTGTTTGTGCATCAGACATTGTACATTTATAAAACTCTAAGGGCCACATTGATAAACTAGGATTCAATACCCAGCTACAGCTCTCAGCCTTTTAAAATTAGTTTATATAAGAATGAGGTTTTTGTTTGTTTGTTTTAGGCAACCCTTATACCCATTCACTTGTGCACTTATTATATACACACCAACAGGGGATGCTGTTGTATGGGAGCCTTCATAGCCTGAATTATTCACAGGAAGTGTGCTAGCACCTGCTGTCTTTCCAGCAAACTGTCCCAGACATGGTCTTACTTGCTCATCGTCATAGCCTAGTGAGTTGGGTTAGAAACACCTAAACTTCCTTCCGTATTAACGTCCCATCTGTTTTGATCATAGGACTCTGAGGTCCAACCGTCCATTTACATAGGTTCAAACAAGTTATTTCATGTCTTTGCCTTAAACAGCCTGACACCCAGGGAGTATATGTCCTTGAAACTCCTGGGAACAGATTAAAAGATTATCACCCTCATTGTCTGTTTCTCATTGATTCTCTTGGTAATTTTGGTACAACCTTTAAAACCAACTTTGCAAAGATACAAATTTACTCACAAGAGATGTGATTATGGGACGTTAAAACCCTGAAGTTGCTCCAAGCTAGGGGTCTGACATATTGCAGAGCCTCTCTTAGCTTGTAGTGACCTTATAAGGGAGCTTTCAGCCTCTTCGGGAGCTAGAGAATTAGATCCCCAGATTGCTAGAAGTAAAAAAGGAAGACTTAGAAAAGAAATGGCATTCCCTATATACACAACTCAGACATCTTTACCTAACCAGCTGCCTTTTTCTCTCAACAGAGGGTGTAGTATGTCTACCCTGAGGGAACTTCAGCTTGTTCATCCAGTGATAAACCTACATAGGTCATATTCCCAGTTCACATTTGACTCCATTCTTGCCAAATTTCCTCACTGACTTGTTCTATAAAATCACTGAGAAGACAGGGGACTGTTTTCCCTACAATAGCAGGGGGAGTCCACTGTGGGGGTCACATTGCTGTGGGGGTCATCTCATATACAACTCTGAGATGCTCTTGACATCCTCTTGTCTTTGCAGACCAGGATCATTCTTCTGAACTGGTGTGCATGGTTTCTGCGCATGAAGAGGCCCGGAGAGGACAAGGTTCGGCCAGCTTGTCAGCACAAGCCTCGACGCTGCAGCCTAGCCAGCGTGGAGCTAAATGCAGGTGCTGGGCCACCCACTAGCAATGGCAACCTCCTCTACATTGGCTTCCGAGGCCTGGAGGGCATGCACTGTGCCCCAACTCCAGACTCTGGGGTCGTGTGTGGCCGTTTGGCCTGCTCTCCATCACATGATGAGCACCTGATGCATGGCACACACCCCTCTGATGGGGACCCTGACCTGGCCAAGATCCTGGAGGAGGTCCGCTACATCGCCAACCGCTTCCGCTGCCAGGATGAGAGTGAGGTGATTTGCAGTGAGTGGAAGTTTGCAGCTTGTGTGGTGGACCGCTTGTGCCTCATGGCCTTTTCGGTCTTTACCATCATCTGCACCATTGGCATCCTCATGTCAGCCCCAAACTTTGTGGAGGCTGTGTCCAAAGACTTTGCTTAATATTATTATGTAGGAAATGCACAGATAAGAAGAGAATCTGGAGGATGAGAATTGGGGTCCTAACTCCACATTGTGATAAATGGAAGGACTCTGAGGTATCCCTGTAGCTGTCAGTCTTGAGACTACTCTGAGGTATCCCTGTAGCTGTCAGTCTTGAGACTTAGTTTCCTGGTTACTTTAATTAAAAAGATCCCAGCAGTCTTCTGTTTACTCTTCTTGCACTTATCACTGGAATATCCTTGTACGCAGCTGGGGCACTATGTGGTCATTTGCCCATTCTAGACAGCCCTACAGGGTAGATCTGAGTGGCTCTAGTAGCCCAGTAGAGGCCTGTCTAGTTGGTGGTGCGTGCCTGCATGCCCCTTGTCGTGGTCTCATACAAGAATCTGCTGTCTGCCTTTGCCATGCACAGACCCAGGCTGAAACCAATGTATAGCAGTTCCCACTGGATCTATTTCAACAATTGCCTTGCAAAAGGAAGGCAAATACAAAAATTCAAACTACAAACTTCTCTGTTGGTTTTTCTGTGATTCAACTTACATCTATTCATCCATCTATCATCCGTCCATCTGTCTATCTATCTATCTATCTATCTATCTATCTATCTATCTATCTATCTATCTATCTATCTATCTTTGTCTTTCTCAATGACAACTTAATACCAGGGAGAAAGTTGGCCTTCTAAATGATCCCTTGAGCAAGCTAATTTCTGTAGATTTGTCCTGACGGTTAAGTTATCACACAGGTTGTGTCAGCTCAAAACCAGGACTCACCCTAGCCAAAAGCGTTTTGAGGCTTTGACCCTCTAGATCTCAGATGACCCCAAAGCTTTACACTGCTTCCATGTCCTGAGGAATTAAGTGAATTTGTTTGTACAAAACCTAAAGGGCAAATAGATTTCAGCGTGTTAACTAAGGAGTAGCTGAAGCTTTCCTAAACATTTGTGTGTGTGTTGAAAATAAAAGTGTGTTAGTTGCTCTGCATGTCAGACTTCACAAGTCTTAGAAGATTTTGCATCTGTACTGCTGCATACCAAGTACACATACTCTATGAACTTTTCCCCATTGTGGGGGTTAGAGAGAAGCAGTTTAGTCTCCTCTGGGCTTCTGTGTGACAGATGCTGTGGGAACATGATGTCAATGATCAGTCATCTAGATACAAAAGTATCTACATCAGGATTTGGCTTCTGAGGATCTGGCTTCCCATGGCTTTAGATGCAATGCTTACTCTGGGTTAGTGCATGGACTCACTGGAGATGGGGTGTGGGTAGGGTGGCTGGAAATGCAGAAAATTCTTCCAGGTGGGAAGTTACATGCAGCGGTTGCAGCTATAGCGGCTCATTAAAGGCCTTCTGCACGATTCCTCATGGCAGGCCCCAATGACACGAGAAAGTCCTTGGTTCCAAAAGGGTTTATTTTCATGGCAGATGGTAGATGGATCTGGAAGTACTCCCATGAAATTCAGGGCAGACCTGAGTTAAATAGAAAGGGAAAAGAGGGAAGGGTCTGGGGAAGAATGCTTAATTGGCCCTGCCCTCTGGCCTTTATTAGTATGTAAATCTCTCTTGGGCCTGAGACCTGTAGTCACACCCTCTACCTGTGCTGTAGATGATGACGTAAAACCTCTCTGGGAGGAGCTACTTTGAGCCAAACGTATCTGCAAGATGCAGGCTAATGGAGGTGTAGGTCGCATGTGGGAGGAGTGTGGAATCCGGGAGCATGGGGAGATGCATGCTGTCCCTCATCAGGCAATAGTCTACCTGTTGGGTCTCTGGTTATCTCAAACCCAGTGCTCTACTGGGGAGTCCAAACCATCCCTTTGCAGCCCCACAATGTGGTGGGGGTGATGTTGTTTGTATAGGTTTTTTTCTTCTTCTGAGCTAGAGTCCTTCTGGCTGTATAGCTCATACCAGTCTGTTTGCACTTTACGTCTTTATTTGTTAATGAGGTGAGAGGATTTTTCACCAAGAAAAACTTTCTGTTCGATAAGTGTTATTGAATTTCTTGAGGATTAAGACTACATCAAGCTTCTGAAGCTCCAGAAAATTTAAACTTCTGACTCCAAAAATGAAATCATGAGAGGCTAGATGTCTCAAAATAATAAAAAACAAACAGAAATTCACATTTTCCCAGCCATTAATTTCACTATAGGAAGATGAAGGTTTGGTGGTACCCTGTGTGTACGTGGGCATATGCATGTATGCGCTCTCTCTCTCTCTCTCTCTCTCTGTCTCCCTCTCTCTCTCTGTCTCTCTCTGTATATATATATATATATATATATATATATATATGTGTGTGTGTGTGTGTGTGTGTGTGTGTGTGTCTGTGTGTGTGTGTGTGTGTGTGTGTGTGTATGTGTATGTGTGTTTGGCAGAAGAGAGGAGATAGTGCAGAGTGACATGGATAAATCTAGACACTTGATTTTAGCACCCACCATCCCAGCATGCATCTGTATCATACAGTATCAACATACATAGAGTATCAACAAATGGTATAAATATTTTGCTGGTGTTATGCTTTTTGATTAAAGTAACTAGAAACAGATAGATATGTTTTGATACCTAAAGACCAGACTTTGTGTCTTACTGTTAAAAATTGAACCCTAGCCATTGGTTTGACTATCTGAGTAATTAATGTCATTATAAAAATAATGATAAAGAATAGCTGAGCTCACAGTTAGATATGTATGGTTTAGAATAGTCTTTCCTTGCTTCTGATTCCTCCTAGGGACAGATTTAGAGAAAAAGAAAGGAAAGGTGAGAATGGAGAGAGGGAGGAGAACATGGAGAGACTTTGTTGTTGCTTTCCTAGAACTCATGTTTGAAAGATGCTAGGCACCTAGTCTTTTGTCCTAGAGAGTTTTCCATAATGGTCTAAAGGTCTACCTCATTCCTCTTAATAGCTGCTTAGAATTTCACTCCATTGGTGGCTTATAATTTATTGGATCAGCCTTTTAGTGATGAACACATAGCTGCAACATTTCCAAGTTTTATTTTTATACACAAGTCTATAGTTGGCATTTTGGTGCATACTTTGCCAAAGTTTTTGTGTATAAATTCTAGTTTAGAAATGGAACTGCTGGATCTAAGACTCTGTGAAACTTTAGATAAGTACTTCCAGATGATCCTCCATAAACTGGTCAGCTGATACCCCTATCGAAAGTTAAAGGGCCAGATTCTCAGCTTTCTGCTGATAAATATTTTCAAATTTAATTTTTCCCTTCCTGATCTGATGGGTAAAAATGATGAGGCAAAAACATTCTGATTTTAGTTCATTTTACCATGAGCAAGCTTGAAGTTTTCGTATATATATTTTGGTAATTTCAGTTTTATAATATTTATATTTTTAATACAAATTTCAGTTTTTTTATTCTTTTAACTTTTATTTGTCATTTGTTTTCTATGGTGTTCATTGATTGCACGTTTATATTAGAAAGTTTAAAATGCTGTATTGTTAGCTTATTTATATTTTCCTTTGCAGAACATGATTGTCCTCTAAGTTTGAAGAGGGCTTCCTGTGTTGAAATTACAAGTAAATTAGTCATATTTTCTTTCTAAAACTTAACATTTCCACTTATTCACCTTTATAACTTTTTATTCTTTAAGATTTATTATAGGAAATATAGATAAAGATTTAGCTGTTTATTTCCAAGAGTGGTCACTGGTACAGACATTTCTGTAATGCAGTAAGACTCCACACTGTTCAGATTGTCACCTTCTGTGTAAACTATGTTTCTCAAAGTGCTTTTCTGTTCCATTGATTAATCTATCTCAGTGCTGTTGATTTCCAAAGTTTTCTTGGTATTATCAATATTTTTAAGTGGACACTATTTTCTGATCCCTCCTTCTTATTCTCTGTGTCATGAACTGGGTGCAGAATGGATTCAACAGCTGGTCTTCCTGTTTGGGAGCAGCACAATTTCAGCTTGTACTCAAATCTAGTATTACAGCCATCAGCAGGGCTGATCAGCAAAACCCTATACATTTCTCGCTGTTCATTTCTGGCTATCTTACCAGTTGGTTACCATTTTCACTTGGTGTTTGTTTGTTTGTTTGTTTGTTTAGCAAAATATATAGGACAGTGGTTGGGTTTTGTATGTTAATGTCAAATAATTGGTCACCATAATTGTGATTGTTTTATTTCTAAGATTTTCCTTTAACTCATTCTTCCCAATATCTTTATGTTATTTTCTATCGAATTGCACTTGAGAACAGTAATTGGCTTGTTTGCATACTTGTCTTGTTCCTAATGTTGATGGATGTTTTAATGATGCACAACTTTACTTGTATGAAGACATGTATTTTCTTCATCATAATAAAAATTATACATGTATCCTCTCAACTATTGCTGTTGTCTGGAAAAATGAAGATGGTATCCTTCTGTCAATGCCTTCCCAGTATCCATAGAAAAGATCAGAAACTTCAATTTTCCCCAGTAGAAGGTTTCATTTACAGAAAACTTAAGGTAAGATCATTAATATATCCCTGGGGTGATGTATACATTGCCTTATGATTTTTGCTTCCATAGCTTGTTTTGTGTACCATTGTATTCAATCAATTGGATGAAAAACATTCAAAAGTAATATCTTTACTGATATATGCAGCTATTCTTCTTGTAGTTATTTTGAAGAGGTCAGCTCAGGAACTTTAGAAAGGTCATAAGACACTTGCTAGATGGGAGAGGCTAATAAACATTCCTCAAGTCAGAGGACACTTGCTGGATTAACATTCCTCAGTCAGAGGAGGAAGGGAGAGGCTGATTAACATTCCTCAGACCACATGGAAGGGAACCCATCTGTGGATGGAGAAGACTCAGAGCATGTAGACACATTATGCAGGACGGACCAACCCTTGCTACCTACAGACAAGGGGGGTCCTTGCCACCTCATTCCCTAAAGACCAATCAGTTTAAAAGTCACACTGTTCTGCCAATCATATTGTGACTAGTCACTGTTTCTCTAGTCTACCCCTTAAATTGTATAAAAACTGACCAAATGGGCTT